TTCTTGAAAATCAAATGATCACGTTTTTCACCCCAAAAATGAAGACTTTTTCTATGATACCTATCAGATCAAATTGATTGTAGAAACGGAATGCAACACTGGACGCTTTTTCTATGAGAGTTGTATATGCTAAATTTTGACATATCCACAAAAAACCTGTTTTCATATTTTTGCAAATTGCTCATTATTTTCGGTCTGAAAACTGGATGTAATCGGCACCATTCGATGTGGCTTTTTTAATTCTCTAGAGAGGTATTAGAAAGTTTGGTGTTATAACGACAATTTTCATAGTCAAATTTAGCAAAAAACGTTTAAAGGATGCCAGATCAAGTCAAGTTTGAACACGAAAATACCACTGCACAATTTTAAATTAAATTGCCGCAATTACCGCTGCTACGGTACAGTACTGCGACTAAATAATCTACCGGCCGTGACGTTGGATAGGGCGCCCTCTCATGTTTCCATACCCCCATTTTTTTTTTCTCTTTTTGCAAAACGCGTTTAGCATCAAACCATGGTGATTATGGAAACCGTTTGATTGATAACAACATTCTAGCTTCTGATAAGTCTGACTTGTACTGTTGGAAGAACTCGATACTGCTTGTTTGAAGTAAAATATATTAGGTACCATTCGATGACGAACACTGGAAGGCTTAGAATTAACACTAACTGAATTCGTTTATTGGATTTTTTCGTAATTTTTTTTTACCTATTTGACGTGGGTGCTGCTGCCGTTTCTTTTCTGCTATCTCTGCTGTCTGCTTCTTTTGTTTTTGCTTGGTCTCTGCTGGTGTCGTTCGTTCTTTGATTTTTGTTTGGTCTCTGGTGTCGTTCATTCTTTGGGTTTTCTATGGTGCTGGTGTTGCTGGTGTTGCTGCTGCTGCTGCTAATTTGCTCTTTATTGGTCTACTGTCTTTGGTGCATGCTCGTTCCCTGGCCTATATCCGGTGATTGCGTATCCTATGGTCTACATGTAGCTGTGGTATGTGGTAAGTGGTAAGTAACTTCTTTCTTTTGGTCGCAATGATATAAAACTTCTTTGAACTTTTATAATATTACTTCCTTTCTCGTAATAATGCATTCATGATGTTTGCCTTGTTGCGCTTTCTTCTTCTTCTTTTTCTTTTGATGGTTGTGTTTCCTCTGTGGCTTCACATGAAACAACATTAGTCATTATGTTGTATCGCAAACTTATAATACCACTGTTGCTTTTGCAGTTGTGCGTGTTTGTGCTGCTTTACATACGACTATTACCGTGCATGTTGCTCATGTATGCATTTTTCTTGCAACAGCAACAAGCTTTTTTGAACATCTTTAATGTTGTGTTTGTTACGCTTTTCTTTGACTCGCTTCGTGTGAGTGTCTCTTTTTTGCCTACTACTATACTCCTATAGTAGTATGCTCTTTTCTTCTTTCATTTATTATTTTTATGTTTCTTTGAAGCATACCTTTTTTACGTTGTGTGGATGTGCCTATCCCTGAAGCTCAACAAGACTTTATCCGAGGCTAGGAGGTAGATAGGCCGCCTCCACTTGGTTATCACTACTTACTTTAGTGATGATTGAGAGTCTCAATGCCAGAATCTAAAGCTAGGTGGTGTAAGTAAGGCATGCTCTAGCACCTGAGGGAAATTTGATGATAGCATCTGCTATATTGCTATGTATATCGGAGCTTAAAATTTTGCCTCACATCAAAACAGGGGGAAACCCTCGCAAATTTTTTTTAGGTCAGCGGAGTTTTCAAGCAATTTGATTGGCTCAGAGGTTGAAGCAACGAAGGGTTAAAGCTACTTGATTTCCTATTGATCTGTCATTTATTATCGTTTTGTGTTTGTAGTAATAAAAACGTATTAGATACAATTTAAGCTTCTCTTTATTATTCAAAAGTACGATAAGATGCAATTATTCATCACACGGTTTTATGCAAGTGATATTCTTCAATAAATACACTATGTTGTAATGTGAGATACAATGGTCTTGTTGTAGTGTGGAAGACAGATGTATTATTAATGGGCAAGTTGGTGTTACTATTTATAGGTCTTTAACCTTGAGCTATATGTACTATAAAATATATGTAAATATTACTGGATAAGTAGTATTAAGATTAAATGTGGATTTATTGTAATAAAAGTATAGTAAGGAGTAATGACAGATATTTTCACTAATATTCAATACATGTCCAAAGGAAGGCTATTTATATACTGTGTTAATATTTCAATCATGCAGATTGAAACATATGTAATGTGGATCATTATATATGCAAGGAAAGTCGTATTCGTAAAGCAGTATAATATTAGGTGCAGCAGTGAAATCAGGATTAATGGACTTCTTGACAAATAAGCAACAGTAAAATACAATAATAGAAATAATCAACTGTATTATATTATTTGTGTGTAAAATGAACTGAAGATTCTGGAATTGAGTAAAAAAAGAGGAGTATTTATATATTTGTAACTAGCTTGTAGTATTATTGATGATAGTGAGCAACAGGTGCTGCTATTGCGATATCTAGCAAATGTTTTTAATGTTTGATTTAAAGTAGCAATCCATGAAAACGCATTGGCCATAAGAGTCGATTTGAGTAATCTTGGTTGGTAGTCTGGATAATCTGTCGTCATTGCATGTTTTAATGTAACTTCGACAGCTTCATGTGTGATCTCTATTATTGAAGTGTGAACCCCTTTATCTGGAGTATTGTGCCATTATGGCATCAAGGCAAACTTGCCATATTTGAATATGCTCGCTATTGATTCTATTTGGATAAAGATAACATCACTTATTACGACCATCACGGGTGCTGTGATTGAATACATTATGATCAGGAATGGTTCATTTACACGATGTGCGAGGTAATAGTGCATCTTTACTTTAGTATGTTCAAGTAGCTTAGCTATGAGGAGCTTACCGTAGCGAAGCAAACGTGTAAAATCATAGTATTCAAGCAGCAAATTCGGTTTCTCATATATATATCCATCATTGGTAAGCATACCAGCAACATAACGCAACAAGATTTGCATGAATTAGCTCTAACAAAATCAATATGCCTTCTATTCAAATTAGAAATTGCACAGGCTGTAGAATTACTCTTCCAGAAGATTTCAGCTACCAAAGATGTGATTCATGCTGTGTAAATAAAAGCTATGATAAAGCAAAACAAAACCAAATTTGACAACTTTCAAGCCTTCATATCTTGATATGTTGACCTTTCTGAGCCACCGGAATAACGCCAAGCTGATTTATCAGAAATAAATTATTTATAAAAAAGGGTATAAAATTAATCAAGTAAAGAATATCGTTTATTACATTGGAAATGAGAGGGTTTATATACTATTCGAATTGAGGGATTTGATGTGAGGATAAAGTATTAGATGGGTTGATTTGGGTGATAGAATAATAGATTGGATCTATTATCCTAAACAGGCCATGATACGGATCGTAACTGAATCCTATTTCATGTCAAAGCTTATGATCTGATGTGATCGGTGCTTGAACTGATTGTTTCTACGCATTTGGAGATCCGGTTTAGTAATGATACATCACAAACAATTATAATTCAATAGTAGCAACTTCCTGACACCTTTGCTCAACTTTTTGGGCCAAAAAAACATGGCCAAAAATCGGCCAAAAAGCATGAGGTACCCCTCATGGTTTTCATCGAAAATCAAACGATCGCATTTTTGCCCTTGAAAATGAAGGCTTTTACTATGGTATATCTTGAATCAAAACGTTTCTATTGATCCAAAGCAACCTCTGAAATCATCTTTGTGGGATTTTGATATGTAAAATTTCGATATTTTTGCCAGAAACCTCTTTTCATATTTTTATAAATCATTTGGTAGGTTTATTCAAAACGTCTGTATTACTTAGTACCATTGGAAGCGCCTTGAAAAGTTCTCCAAGGATGTATTAGGAAGCATAGGGGGATCATCACAATTTATATAGTCGAATATCATAAAACAGATTAAAGAAGTCGACAAAAGACGAAATTTGGCCAATCTTGAACAGAAAAAAATGAATCAATTTTGGCAGCAGCGTTGCTGCTGGCTGACCTAAATGCCTTTCTGGTGATGGCAATGATAATTGCGATGATGGTTGCGATGCTGATCAAATGGGATTATGGAACTGAAATGACAACTGCTTAGCCCAAATACTTTTTTTTGGGGAGCTTTGCCTCATGAAGGTATCTTTTTCATTGACAATACCTCAAAAAAGTCGCTATAGATCTTACACAAGTCCTGTATTTATACATGACCAGCTTTATGCCTCCATCGCAAGAGCAACATCTTAATTAAATAATTGTTCAAATCTACTTGATATGCCAGATTTTTATTATCTCTGATTTGAAATGTCTTCAGCGAAGGCCCGCAGGACGACGCCGTCATCAAGCGTAGCGAGATTGACCGGCTAGTTTGTAATATATTAAAGATCGTATTTCATGCCATTTTCAAGACCGCTGTAGTAATACTATATTACTATTTACAAGGACAAGTCTTGTGTGTCTGACATGTGCAACTCTCAGACATCCATTGTCTCTGTATGTGACATTTTGATTATTGTGAATTTTTGATTAATTTGAAAAAAATAGTAAAGATTATTTATCGCACACTGGAGGGAAAAATTGTAATTCAGCATTAATCTGTGATGGTAATGTTGAAACAGACTTGTTGAAAGTCAACTGGCTGTAGGGCAATTGAAAGTAATATCGTTTTATGCAGATACTTATTCTGTACAGGCTTACTGAAGGCTAAAAACGATGATTAAATTAAAGAATGGTACAATAATTTACTTTGAAAGCAAAATTATCCATGACATGAACTAAATTACGCCGACAAACAAACATTAGGAACCGAAAAGTCACCAAGGATCGTGCTAAAGGGACAAATATGCCGTTTTTCAATGTGCGCAGGTTACAAAGGCTAATTGCAATTCATGTTCTTTTATTGCCCTGAATTGTCTGTTTTTCAACAGTTTATTTATCTTCTTTTCGAACGGTGGAACCAAATGCTGGACGACTATAGTAAAGAAAGGTCTACAAATCGAAGAGTGTCATCATTGGAGGCTGCGGGTGTTAAAGCCACCCCATCACCGACTGTACGAAAGAAGGCACCTGTGCTCCCATCACCGATTTCAACTGCACGCACTGGTCGATCTCAAACCAGCAGTGTCAAAACACCCAACTCAGCAACATCGCCTGCCATCACATCTCGACTTGCAAAAACGCCTCCTTTGAAAAGCAGATTAACTCCTAGTAATAGCAAGGATACAAAAGCATCAAGAAAGGTTTATAATAGTACAGTAACGGGACGAAGTAATAGTAGGTTATCAAACTATTCCTCAACCTCGTCCATCAGATTAACACCCACAACGAGTAAATCAAGTCATCAAAGCGGCACAACAGGCACAGCGTCAACGAAGCAATCTTTGATTGTAGATGAATTGAAAGTCAAGGTGAGTCAGTCATTTCAGCATTATTATTTCGAGGGCTAAATCTTGTAAACTCGATGATGCGTAGTACCAGGAAGCCCAAGCAACCATACTAACCAAAGACGACTTACTTAAGCAGCGCGAGACTGATTTAAAAGATCTAAGAACGAAATTAGAACATGTACAGTGTCAATTAGAGCGACAAATCTTGGCAAACCAAAGCCGTGCCGAAGAACAGGTACTCGTGGAACAATTAAAAGAGCAACTCTTCAACCTGAAACAATCACATGAAAATGAGAAATCTGACATTCTACTCCACCACGAAGAGGCCGAAAGGAAAAATCGCCAAAACTTTGAGAGTCTACGACAAAAACTGGAAATCGAAAAAAAGGCATTATGCGATACGATGGCAGAAAAGAATAGAATGATTGACAAGCTGAATCATGAATTGGATGAGATGCGCGATAACATACAAGTATGAAAGCATGAGCTGCTTGGTTGGAGGAGCATTTATTCAATTGCATTTATTCAAGGAAATGCATCAAGCGCATCAATCAAGGCTGACTGTCATGTCAAATCAACTCGAAGCGAGGTATGAACAACGCATTCATTCTCTTTTGGAACAAATCAAAGCAACTGAGCCTCAAAAGGTAAAGTTGGGTTTCTTTTCAGTGGTACGATGTTTATCTCATTCACTATTATCCGCGTGATTTCGTTCTACTGCCATTTAGCAGAAGCTGACTGAGGATGCCAAAGAATCCCAAGTAAGACAAGTTTGTAATGCAATAGAATTTGAATAATTTAACTAATTCTGTACATTTTATTCGAGCAGAGAGCATGGGAGTTTGAGTCAGAAAAGCAAATAAAGCAATTGGTATTAAAATGACATTTAGGATCGAGAAATATGCAAGCTAATGCTGACATTGATAGACTGAAATGCATAAAGCTGAAATTCGAGATATCAAATCAGAGCTTCATGTACATTAGATGGCAGACGAACCCATTCTTGTAAGCATTAGTAATACGTTTTAATTTAGGCAAAGGATCAGGCTTTATTGCAACGGAACATTGACATAAAAGTAAGCTGCCGTAGAAATGAAAGCATTTACTTGTTTCAGCACAATAACACAGCCAATGGAAAGGTCCTGCAGGATCATCAGATAACGGTCGAAACAGCATTAGAAACTGAAAAACTGGAGTATAGAAATCTAGCTACAAGCTATGATGAATTAGCCAAGAAAAAGGAACACGAATACTCGGACTTGCAGGTAAGATAGATACAAGTTCACATCTTCAGTCCCATGCCGCAATGTGTTAATCCTTTACTGTTCCTCTCGCCAGCATGAAATGAGCGAGCTACTGCTAAAGAATAGCGAATTGCGAGTAAGATAGGGTTGAACAGTAGATTCAGATGCCATGCAAAACTAATAATTTGTATGCAAAAAAAGAAAAAAGTTCTGGAATATGAATCCACAGAAGAATCTTATCTGAGGGAGATAAAAAGACTTGGAGTCATCAATAGCACGAATACTTCCGAGCTGCGATCCATCATGAAATATCAGCAATTGCAAGAGGAACAGATACAAAAAGAGATTGATATCGCCAAGCATGATTTAGATGAAGAATTCAAGCAGCAATTATCACTACAGAAAGCAACCTACATCAAGGAAACAAGCCAATTTCAACACAGAATCGATAAATTACAGTTTGAGTTGAACGTAAGACATTTTTTTTTCTAATTTCTGACTCGGGTGAGGAATATTGACCTGATATTTAATAATATCATGCTTCTTTTAGGTCTGTAACGACAAGTTAAACCAATCAAAGGAGAACCAAAACAAGAAATCGATAGTAAATGAAACTTTTGCCTATAAGAGGGATTGTGATTTACACGTTGTAAATGATTCAGAATTCAAGGTAGCAAGTTATTGAGAATGTATTGATACAGATCACTAAATTAGATATGTAAGCGTTTGGTGCACCAGCATCAGAAGGAGCTGAATGTGTTACAGGAGCAATTCCAGAGTATACTGCAAGCCAAGGATGATCAAATCAACGATCTAGTGTATAGAGTTAAAAAAGGCAGCCAGCATCACAGCGAACAACAAGAGACATCAAATGCAGGTGCCGATGACATGAATAATGAGGTTCAATCATTCATCTACCTAAACTATACTATGTAATAATAATCAAAAATAGATGTACATGCAACAATTATTATAGCGCGTTACGGTTCTGGTTACTCAATGGTAGCACTGCTCAATGAGGGTTGGAATTCAACATTTGCAGCTATTAAAAGCTTTTTTTTTTTTTTTTTTTTTCATAAATTTTTTGGTTTGAAACGGAGCCTTTCATATCGCACTCATGGCCAGGAATCATAATGAGGAGAGTGGCGAGAGACATTCAGGTAAAAAAAAACCCCTTCTCTTTTTCTTCTGCAATTGCTGTGTGTTACCAATTTATACAAAATTCTATATAATTCCCCCCCTTTACCCTCTTTTTTCTTCTTTCTCATTGCACACATCAACAGATGAACGCATTTCAGCAACATTTTACGTCTTCTCCTTCAGATACTTTAAATACCAACTTGAATGCACCTCCAACTCCACTCAAGAGAACTCGTGCAAAGAGAAGCTGTGATTTCTGTCGCAAAAGAAAGTCTCGATGCGATGCTGATGCTTCTACGCCTTGTTCTAATTGTAAAGCTGTAAGATGTTTGGAAATTATGAAGTCGAATGTCAAATTAAAATAGGCTTTTCTAGTGGGGATACTCATGCGAATTCCAGACCGTACGAAAGAAGAGAGGGCCTCCTAGTGTGTAAGTGTGCACATGCATTTCTTGATTTGATCATGATACTGACATGGATTAATATAGCTATGTAGATAATCTCGAAAAGAAATGCAAAAAGATGGAATCACTTTTATCAGCCCTCACAAATTGCTCCATCAAAGATCTCGAGCGAAACGATTTTCAATATGCTGGACATGTACAACCGTCATCACCGCCCAACGCAAGCGACAGTTCCTCAGACGAAGAAGAAGAAGACTTTGAGCAGGGTTTTGATCCACTCCACGAAACAACCAAGGACTATGATTCCCTCAAATACACTGGTCAATCCTCTGCAGGTATCAAATTATTCAACAACGATGTCTTCAAATTTCAATCCTCCGTTCCTTGGCCTGGCAGAGAAAACATTGTACTGAAATTAATGGCTCATGATGAGCTTATGATTGTGCGCACCGAGAAATCCTCCACCACAGGGAAATCTGACATGCTGTTTGATGTTGGACTATCCATGTGGGCCCCTCTTTCTGACAAACAAAAAAGCATCAATATATTACAAAGAAACACAAAGAAACCTGCAAGACATCAGCTCGACAAGATGATTGGCATGTATGTAGCATGAGCTACTTTTGCTGTTGAAGTCACTTGAACTGACGTTTGCATGTGTTGTTAGGTATTTCAGTCACATTCATTTGATCCTGCCCATCGTCAACAAGACCAAGTTTCTCGAGCAGTATCACAATTCACCCTCTGTTGGCCCTCCTTCCATTTTGATGCAGGCTGTACTGGCTTTGACGTTCAGATTTGCTGGTCAAAGATTACCTGATCTAGTTAAAGATGCCAACGAGTTTGCCGATATCTATTTCCGCAAAGTCATGAAACGACTTAGGGATTCAGTCAAATCGAGGCTCTGCCATGTTCAAGCGGCTCTTTTAATGGCTCTTTATTTGGATATGGATGATGGCGATGTTGAGTCTGCTCAATGGTGCACTGTTGGCTCTGCTATTCGCATGGCTCAAGATTTGGGCTTGCATCGTTCCTGTGCTAAATGGAATCTGCCTCGCTCCGAGATCGAGACCCGCCATCGCGTATTTTACGCCTGTTATGTCATGGATCGTTGGCTTGGTGCTCGTGCTGGAAAGCCTCTCACCATACTCGATAGAGATTTTGATACTGACATGCCCTCTCCTTACGAGATTACAGACGACAGCGCAGATACCAACCTCGGTGCACCTATCTATCGTAGTTTCATCGCCTTGATCAAGCTATCAGAAATATTAGGCAGAGTGCTGAAAGCCCTTTATGCGCCTAATGCAAAGATTGCCAATACAAATGCTGGCCTTGATGATCCAACAATACTCGCTGTATTTGAGAGACGACTGCTCAACTGGAAGAACTCGCTGGAAGAACCTTTGGATGGCACCTACTTTTCAAAGCTTGATAAACGTATGTGTATGCAGCATATCCAAATTGTTCACTGTATTTAGGCCTTTTTGTTTAGAAAACTTGCAAATATTCTACTACGTCGTAGTGTTGCTCTTACATAGACCCTTCAATCAGCTATCCATCGAAAAGTATCCCAGCTTAAAGCCAATTGTCGCTGCTTCCGAGAAGGCGTGCACTGATGCCGCCAACGCCATCTCTAACATAGTGAATCAACGACAATACCAAACATCTGATCCAGCTTATTACTATGTTTTGTGCGCTCCATCATGCTATGTGTACGCATTGTTCCAGTCTTCGCTGGTCTATCTATCCAATTCTCTACGTACAAGAAGCCCGCAAGACATCCAAGGCTTTCACCAATCGATTAGTTTGCTAAAAACGACAGAGAATTCAGGCCCTGTTCCTCGTGCTGTCGAAATACTCAACATGCTGGCTTCCATCAATGGATTATATGTAGGACATGACACCATTTCTACTGTCAGTAGCAAATCAAACTCAATGAGCGAGGAGTCGTCCAACTTCACCGCTACCGCAATGACTTCAGCCTCAAGCAACACCATTTCACCCATCGTAACACCACCCATCTACGCCAACAATGCCTACATGGAACATCCCGCTCGTGAACCAGCTCGGTCCAACTATATGCAACACAAATTGATGAATACTAGCATCATTGGAGGTATCACACCTGATATTCAACAAGATTTAGACATTGTAATGTCACCTTCCTGTGGACATGAACACCTACAATACAAGCTAAATAGAGAGCCAAAGACATTAGATCATCGCCATCACCTTCCAATACCACCACCAGAGCATCCTCATCAACAGCAACACCAGGCCAATTGCTATGTGCCTCAGCCTTATCCTGTCTATAATCATCAGCATACAGCTTCCACCCTCTCTCATCAACGCTCCTTCTCGCTGGATCAGCTCCAGTCTTCTACACACTACTCTCATACAAGATCCATCTCGCACGATTTTCATACCACTCATTCAATGCACTCCTCTGTGAGTAACACACCAGCATCTTCAGAACCACCTTCCGTCCCAACACCGCTTGCCATGAATGTGAATAGCATGCTCTCTGATTGTTATACTCCCCAAAGCAACCACAGCAACAGCAATACAAGCATGAACCCCATGATAAACACATACCGCTCTTTACCTCAGGCACCACAGGCTTACACTGCTGCTTACGACCCTAATATGAATGTATCCAACTCGACATTACCTCCGGCCAGCCTCAATTGGTCAGACTGGGATGTGTACCTTGGTCATCAGAATCAACATTCGTCGGGGCAGCAGCAATCGCACCAACAACAATCACATCAGTTAACTTCATCCCCTTCTCAGCATATACATTATTCTTGATTTTTTGATAAATGCTTACATTTTCACATCAAAATATCAATCACCCTTTGTTTTTTGTGTGTCCAAATAAAGAAAGAGCAACCTCCCATCTATCACGCATCTGCTCAAAGATATAACTTCAAAGTTGCGCACAGATATGTAGTTCATTTAAGCTGTCTGAATAACACTTCATCACGTTGCGTGCCTGAACGAGAACCTGTCGGACTAGACAAGTTCTATACAGCTCAGCCATGTTCGGGTAAAGACATGCATTGTTACTCATTCTTACTGATGGAAGGAACTATAAAGGTTGAGCTGTAAATGTTTGAGAATATCCATACGATTCGAATTTGTTTTGGTCAATTGAGTTGTGATGGTCTGATTATTAAAACACCATTCTCAATTGACCAGTTAACCGGATACTTCCTGAACAGTACTATATTATACAAATGTTGTAGGAACTCTATTCTACTTGTTCCTGATCGCTAAAGAAAGGCTGACTTCCTGAGTGCTGTTATTTCGTATATAAAGTTTCTCGTAATGTCTTTCAATAATAAAGGTTCTTCAATTTTAGTGTCTAGCCATTTCTATGAGTCCCTTAAGTGTCTGTAGAAATCTTCTTTATTACTACGAGTGTTTATGCTTCGAATGGCTGTCTATCTTTGCTTCGCTTCGGTGACAACCAATCTGCGCAGCCGCAGCTCGCACTAACAATTGCCCTTGCGTATCTAATCAGAATTTGTTACCTTGATTTTGACCCCTCCCCCACTTATACATGGGAACTCTTCATATTATCTGTGGATTTGATTGTTACGTGATGCTCTACATCCATATATACATAGCTACTTCATATACGGGCTAGTAGCATATAAATATTATCCCTTTTTAGTCAAGAGTGTCCATGCTACAGCAAAATCTGAATGCATTTGAGCTTCATTTCTTGCGTTCAAGGCCGTTTTAGATTGTCAGAATAGCACCAAACAATTTCTCTCATCTGGCAGTTACTTTCTGACACCGTTGCTCAATTTTTTGAGGACCAAAAAAAAAAATGGATGAAATTCGACCAAAAAGTATGAGGTACCCCTCATGGTTTTCATTGAAAATCAAACGTTCGCGTTTTTGACCTTGAAAATGAAGGCTTTTACTATGGTGTATATTAAGTCAAAATGTTTCTCTTGGTCCAAAGCAAACCCTGAAGCCACTTTTGGGCAGCCTTCATATGCAAAATCTGGATATTTTTGCTAAAAACCTCATTTCATACTTTATCAAATTGCTCAAAAGTTTCATTCAAAACATCTATTACAATTAGCACCACTGGAAGCACCTTGAAAAGTTTTCCAAGAATGTATTAGGAAACATCAGATGAGCATTACAGTTTATATAGTCGAATATCGCAAAATAGTTCAATCAAGTCGAAGATTGCTAGATTCTGGCCAATCTTTGAAAAATAATCTGAGCTTGAATCAATTTTGGCTGCGGCTGGCTTACCCAAATGCCTTTCTGATGATGACAATAATGATGACAATGAATATTACGATGCTGACCAAATGGAGACCATGGATTTGAAAGGATAACTACTTTTCTTGAATACCCTTTTTTTTTTGCTTTTATTGGGAGTTATTCCCTATAAAGGTGCCTTTTGCAATGACAATCCCTCAAAAAAGCCGCTGTAAAATTTACACAAGCGCTGTATTTACGCATGACCAGTTCTATATCACTACCCCAAGAGCATTATCAGCGAATGTATATCTCCCCCTCTGATTCTGATCTTATAGCCTTTCTTTCACTATCAATTGATTGTTTAAAATCTACTTAATATTTCTGATTTGAAATGTCTTCAGCGAGAGCCCGCAGGGCGACACCGTCATCGAATGTAGCGAGATCGACCGGCTAGTTGCCTCATACAATAGATCAAATATATTGTTAGATTTATTTGACATGTCAGGACCGAAAAAGGAAAAACGTGTGGCGAGTAAAGAGAATATTTTGTTGGTACGTTAGCAGCCCCTTTCAAAGCCCTCAAAAAGGAAAGAAGATTGATCTTCCAAGTACATTTCGGTGGACTGATATTATTAAATACAAGACTTTAAACGAATATAGCATGAATAACAATAGTATTATGCGATTCGCCACCCACTTTCTATTGGCTTCAAAGCACCTATTATTACCTTCGTGTTTAGAAGCACGTTGAATTTGCCAACCGGCCACACCAGCTAGCCGCCAAAAATTGATTCAAATCCAGCTTATTTTTCAAAGATTGGCCAGAATCTAGCAATCTTCGACTTGATTGAACTATTTTGCGATATTCGACTATATAAACTGTAATGCTCATCTGATGCTTCCTAATACATTCTTGGAAAACTTTTCAAGGCGCTTCCAGTGGTGCTGATTGTAATAGGTGTTTTGAATGAAACTGTTGAGCAATTTGATAAAGTATGAAATGAGGTTTTTAGCAAAAATATCCAGATTTTGCATATGAAGGCTGCCCAAAAATGGCTTCAGGGTTTGCTTTGGACCAAGAGAAACATTTTGATTTTATATACACCATAGTAAAAGTCTTCATTTTCAAGGTCAAAAACGCGAACGTTTGATTTTCAATGAAAACCATGAGGGGTACCTCATACTTTTTGGTCGAATTTCATCCATTTTTTTTTGGTCCTCAAAAAGTTGAGCAACGGTGTCAGAAAGTAACTGCCAGATGAGAGAAATTGTTTGGTGCTATTCTGGCAGTCTAAAACGCCTCCCGAAGCGAGAAATAACGACTGAAATGCCTCCAAACTTCGCTGTAATTTGCATATATTTGAGAAGTAAAAGACAATCCAAAGATGATGCCTGCTTGTACCTTTAACGTTTTTTTATAGATACGGACATGGAGCATCACCCACTGGTATTGCTGTGTTTGCCGATGGCACTTCAAGGGCAGACCAGTGTATTGACATCACTGTAGAAAAACTCAGCATATGAAGCTTGTTACGTTATTCAATGTGAATATGAATCCCAACGCAGATATAGATATCAACGATTCAAACTACTACTGCGCCAAGTTTAACCAAAATTCGAAGGATAGAGGAAAGTTCGTGAGACATTTAAAACTGGTTCATGGAATAACAACGCCATCATTAGAAAGAATAATGCTAATGGCCATTATTGACATTCATAACCTCAACTTTTATTGTCAAAAACGGCCATCAGGAACAAGCAATTACAAGTTACACCTGAGGAAAATGTGTATATTAACTTAATTGAAAGTAGCTAGTCTGTCAATAACAAGCAAAAATGCCTTGTAACCACGAATACACATGCACAACGTCAAGATCGATTTCAAAAATGATCCTGATGTATGTCCGTGATGGCAATATTTCATGGCACATTGCTACCATTATATCGACTGAATACAGAAAAAGCACATTGTAGTTATTAGCAAGAAAGGCACATCTGATGCCGGATCTTCCGTCTATGAACAATTGCTTATTTGTTTGTCCCTGTAAATGTCTAATGGACAAACATTTGATGAGATTCGACAGCTAAATGAACGATGGGATCATAGGATCAAGTATAGAAAGAGTGATGAATGTGTATATTCGCTTTGTCATCCATGCCAATTGTAGTCTCCAAGTGTTGCTAGAACTTTCTTTTTAGATACCTCGTCCAATATGTAAGTACAGCGAGCATGAAAAGCGTAGTAGCATCGCATGAAATGGAATCCATTGGATTTTCTTTGATTGCAATGCCGACATGTGCCATCCACCTTTGAAGGATTTCAATGCAGACTATAGTTGTAAAGTAGATACATTGGACCCATGTGTAGCATCAAAGACCATGTCATGAATCACTTTCACCTCTCGGCATAGAGTCCATCCAGAGTTTTTGAAAGAGCTGACAAACCTACTAATTGAGGTACACATTCCAAGGCATTCCATTTCAACAACCGTAGCCCCCTTCTAATTGGGCTTTTGATATGATGACGTTTAATGTTAATGCGCGTCCATTACGTGTTCCAGCCATATAAGATATCACATTTCCTATACAGTTTTCTCTTTTTCTTTCATCTTTATTTTTTTTCTTTAATCAATCGATAAAAATAATGACAAGTGATAACAAGAACAAACTTTTGTAAGTGTAAACACATGGCTACTTGCTTTCAATTGCTAACATGCGCTTGCAGACCCAACTCTGGTATTGAGGATCCTGAGGTTGATCCTAGCCACGATCCTGCCACTGCCATCTTGCGTCGCAAGGCTGCACCCAACAAATTGATGGTCGACGATGCTACAAACGACGATAACTCTGTCATTACTCTCTCAACAGCTACTATGGAAAGACTTCAACTTTTCAGAGGTGATACTGTCATTGTCAAGGGAAAGAAGCGAAGAGATACCGTGCTTATTGTGTTGGCTGACGATGATATGGAAGATAACAAGGCCAAGATTAATAAGGGTAGGTTTCCTATATCTTTTTGGTGTCATTGCAGTTGCTAATCTCGTTTATCTTGAAAAAAAAAAAAAAAAAAAAAAAAAAAAAAAGTTGTCCGTAATAACTTGCGTGTTCGCCTTGGTGATGTGCTTACCCTTCATCCTTGTCCTGATATCAAATACGGTAAACGTATCCACGTCCTGCCTATTGATGACACTGTGGAAGGTTTGACTGGTAACCTCTTTGAAACTTTCCTCAAGCCCTACTTCTTGGAAGCCTATAGACCCGTCCGCAAGGGCGATACCTTCCTCGTGCGTGGTGGTATGAGAGCTGTTGAGTTCAAGGTGGTTGAAACTGATCCCGAGCCCTATTGTATTGTAAGTTGGAGGCGAACAAATGGATGTGTGGGATAGACTTGCTTATACATGCAATCTAATATAGGTCGCACAAGATACAGTCATTCATTGTGAAGGTGACCCAATTAAGCGTGAAGATGAAGAGCAAAGTTTGAACGAAGTCGGTTATGATGATATCGGTGGTTGTCGCAAGCAAATGGCTCAAATTCGTGAATTGGTTGAGTTGCCTCTTCGCCACCCTCAATTGTTCAAATCTATCGGTATCAAACCTCCTCGTGGTATTCTCATGTTTGGTCCTCCTGGTACTGGTAAGACCTTGATTGCTAGAGCTGTTGCCAACGAAACCGGTGCTTTCTTCTTCTTGATCAACGGCCCTGAAATCATGTCCAAGATGGCTGGTGAGTCTGAAAGTAATCTCCGTAAGGCTTTCGAGGAAGCTGAGAAGAATGCTCCTGCCATTATCTTTATTGATGAAATTGATGCTATTGCTCCCAAGCGTGAAAAGGTAAGCAAATGATAAAAATGGATGTTTCAGATTTGAGAGACTGATGCATGAATGGCTTACTCTAGACTAACGGTGAAGTTGAACGTCGTGTTGTGTCTCAATTGCTTACTTTGATGGACGGTATGAAGGCTCGTTCCAATGTGGTTGTCATTGCTGCTACCAACAGACCCAACTCCATTGATCCCGCTCTTCGTCGTTTCGGTCGTTTCGATCGTGAAGTCGATATCGGTATTCCTGACCCAACTGGCCGTCTTGAGGTGCTCCGTATTCACACCAAGAACATGAAGTTGGACGATGATGTTGATCTGGAGCAAATTGCCTCTGAAACTCACGGTTATGTCGGTGCTGATGTCGCCTCCCTCTGTTCAGAAGCTGCTATGCAACAAATTCGTGAAAAAATGGATCTTATCGATTTAGAGGAAGAGACTATTGATACTGAAGTGTTGGATTCCTTGGCTGTCACCATGGAGAACTTCCGTTATGCTTTGGGTGTCTCCAACCCCTCTGCTCTTCGTGAAACTGTGGTTGAAGTGCCCACTACCAAGTGGAACGATATCGGTGGTCTCGAGCAAGTCAAGCAAGAATTGCAAGAAACTGTTCAATACCCTGTCGAGCATCCCGAAAAATTCTTGAAGTTTGGTATGAGTCCTTCCAAGGGTGTCTTGTTCTATGGTCCTCCTGGTACTGGTAAAACTCTGTTGGCTAAGGCTATTGCAAACGAATGCCAAGCCAATTTCATCTCTATCAAGGGCCCTGAGCTTCTGACTATGTGGTTTGGTGAGTCTGAAGCTAATGTCCGTGATGTCTTTGACAAAGCCCGTGCTGCTGCTCCTTGTGTCATGTTCTTTGATGAATTGGATTCTATTGCCAAGGCCCGTGGTGGAGGAGGTGGAGATGCCGGTGGAGCTGGTGATCGTGTTCTCAACCAAATCTTGACTGAAATGGACGGTATGAACGCAAAGAAGAACGTCTTTGTTATTGGTGCTACCAACAGACCTGATCAAATTGATCCTGCCTTGTTGCGTCCTGGTCGTCTTGATCAACTCATCTATATCCCTCTTCCCGATGAAACATCTCGTGTTGCCATTTTGGAAGCACAATTGCGCAAGTCCCCTGTCGCTGCTGATGTTGACTTGAAGCTTCTCGCCAAAGCCACTCAAGGCTTCTCTGGTGCTGATCTTGGAGAAATCTGTCAACGTGCTGCTAAGCTTGCCATTCGTGAAGATATTGAAAAGGATATTGCCAAGGAAAAGGCACGCAAAGCTAGAGAAGAAGCTGGTGAAGATGTTGGTATGGAAGAAGATGAAGAGAGCGAGCCTTTGGCTGAAATTACTCGGTAAGTGAGAGGCTTGTGGTGAGATGTGTGATAAAAACTGCTTTACTCATCCATTCTTTCTTTATAGTGCTCACTTTGAAGAAGCCATGCGTTTCGCTCGTCGTTCCGTCAGTGATGGCGATATTCGTCGTTATGAAGTCTTTGCACAAAACCTCCAACAACAACGTGGTTTCGGTTCCTTTAAATTCCCTGAGGGATCTGCCGCCTCAGGAGCTCAAGCCATGGACGGTGTTAGTGGCGAAAGTGGTTTCGGTCAAGAAGGTGGTGATGATGACTTGTATGCATAAAAACTATAATCTCTTTCCACACGCATCTCTTTTCTTTTACTATTTTCTCTCGCCCTTATAATTAAATATCTCTCTCTCTCACCCCTCATCTATATCAATGTGGATATAAACACTTTTTTTTTCTTTTATCAAAATTTCTTGCAACCGATGAACTTGTTAAATACTCTTTTTCTACAATAAAGCACACATATCAACACTACTCGTTCTATTGACTTGAATTAAATGTCAGTGTGGGTGTGCTTGCAAATAACTGAGATGCTTTCTGAAATCCTTGTTCTTTTTCATTCATGCCATTCAAATTTGGGAACTTCAACATTTCAGAATCTGAAGTGTTTTATGAAAGCAGCTACTCGATAGGCCTAGTCAACCTTAAACCAATTGTGCCGTACGTATGAAATGCTAGTTGCCATATAAAGACTGATTTCATGACTCATGTGAATTGTGTAGAGGACGTAAATCATTGTCAATGAATATATCATGTATGATGCTCAACGCCTACTCTCTTTTATTATCTTCCTTACAGACGTTCTGATTGTTCCTAAGCGTGTCGTACCTAGATATTCACAGCTCACTGTACAAGAGGTAAACATAGGAAACAGAATGTATATATAACATTGGATGGAAGCATGTGACATTCTCTATCCATACGCGTAGGTTACGGATCTCAGTGAATCTGCTAAGCTCATCAGTAACGTAATTGAAGATGAATACGGCGATGCGTCAAACAAGGGATGTATATGGCTGATTCAAGATGGCAAGGAAGCAGGCCAAACGGTAAGCAATTTTTAGCTTGGGTAGCATCGTTAAGTCTGACATTGCAAACAGGTGCCTCATGTCCACCTGCATCTGATACCCAAGCGGTTTTCAGCATGGTTTGAGGATGGCATTGAAAGCGATGATCGAGTGCCTAGATCATGGATTGAAATGAAGCAAGAGGCAGAACAGTTAAAAATAAAATGTGATGGTAGAGTGTAACTTCAATTTGTTCATGTTGTGCGACTTGAATTACCACTCAATGCATATCACTGATGATATAAAACACTAAACTGTTTTATACTGCCTCTTTCCCTTTCTCTTTTCACTCTTTCTTACTATTTACCATGTCTTTAAGAACAAAAGCGGAATTAGCTAGATTTAAACCACTTAGTCGATTCGTTGAGCATTTCGATTTGATGCCGCCGACTGAACTACTAGACACATCCTCTGTGGAATTACCTGTAGAGGAGCCACCAGAACAGCCAAATATCAACAGCAAGAAGCCTTTTTATGCTCTACCTCCAGGAATTCAAAGAAAGTACCCTTCCAATCTAAGCATTCAATCGGCTAGTGCTGCACCGTCTGCTCTCATGTATTCCCCTACATCACCTGCGGCAGACATTCGAGACTATTCCAGAAACATGCCATCCACTACTACACAACAACAACAACAACAACAACAACAACAACAACAACAACAACAACAACAACAACAGGAACCTCTTGATCTCTTGAGATCTGTCGGCCGTAGTCAAAGCCAACCTGCCATACCTTCTTCCAACAACGATTCAGGCACTAAAAAAACCAGCAGTTCATCCTCAGTTGTCACCATGACAAAAGCGGCTAGTCCACCACCACCAACAGAACCAATAGTGCTTGCCAATACAGTCATAGTGCCATTATCCAAAGGAAACACAACCTATGCATCTCCTACGACTAGTTCAGGTAAATCCAAATTATCTCGTGCCAGCTTGAACAAAGCCAACATCATCATCGAGCGCTATGATGCATGGAGCAAGTTTTTGACCTTGATCATTGCCTGGGTGAGCGAGGTCTCTCGTCTCAGCGCACAATCCGAACGTTCCTTCAGCTCTCTGCTAAAGAAAGAACACCGATTTTCTCAACTTCAAGCAAGTAACATTGAGACAGCAAATGGAATCCATGCAACCATCCATGGTTTCACAGTGGACTTGGCATTGCAAGAACAGCAGTTTGGACATCGTCTCAAGGAACGTGTGCCTATTTTAGAAAAGTTTAAAAAAGAATGTGCAACGCATCAAAAAGATTTGAAATCAAGAACTGATCTAGCCCTGGATGAGTTCTTACGACGAGCTGAAGTTACTGCCAGTTTGATGGCTCAACTCAACAAAGCATGTAAAGAGGCTGGTCGTACAATTGAAAAGGGTGTTCACCTGACAAGTGATCCTTGGTTGGCCAATCTCTGTAAGTATATCATCGTTTCTATAGAGACAATGACCTCATTCATATGCATTGTAGATGTTCTGAGGCAACTCAAGAGAGAGGTGGATGAGGAGAATAGACTGAGAAGACTGATGGTGCCTATTCAACATGCCATGCTTGACTTTGAAACGCGCTTACTTAGGGCAGTGGAGGAAACTATCAAACTCTGCTTTGAAAGACCAGGCAGCCTTTCGGAAGAGAGACTCAACAGTCTGGAGGCATCCTTGAATGCTGCTGTATCCGACAATTGGAGCACATTTGTGGCTAACAACAAAAAGGACCTTGTCAATGAAAAGAACCCCAACAAGCACTATCTCAAGATCAACTATCCGTTCAAAAACGATCCTCTAGTAATGACACTTCACAAAGGCGAACTTGAGCGCAGATCAGGTGTCTTGAACAAGTACACGCATAGATTCTTTGTGCTCACTGAATGTAAAAAGCGTAAATCCTGATGTTTGACCATGAATCTCGATACTTACATATACATACAATAGCTGGATTTCTACATCAGTTTAAACTGAATGACAAGGTGTCTCCTGAATTCTCCATTTACATACCTAATGCCACTATCATACCCAGCATGGATATCAGCCATTTGAACCTCACTACGCTTCAAGCAGAGCCAGAAAAGACAAGCAACTATTCTTTTGAAATACAACGTTCAGGATCTGTGTTACAGCGTGATAAATCATATGTATTTCGCACATCCAGTTTGGCTGAAATGGTGGTGTGGTGTAAATTACTCAGTGATGTCGCTACGAGACCTCTGGATGCTGTATTACAGCCAAGGCAGCTACCACAATACACGAGTAGACCATCCACAGTCTTGTCGGGTCATAGCTCAGCAAGGAGCATTGTACTGTTCTCTCATCAGCCAATGCCTCCCATTCAACATCAAGAAACCACACCGCCGCCATCTCCTGTCCAACAATTGCCTGAATCATTGCAAAGTAAGATTAACAGAATGAGTGCTGTAACAGATGATATACCTCAGTTTGCCATGCAGCAGCCTACTCTCTCTCCCACAACGTCAACAGAGCTTTACATGCCTGCATTGACGGAAGATTACACAGTGATGGGAGGAAGACACAAGCAATACGCGCCGCAATTAAGTATTTAAGTCGTGCCTTTCCTTGTAGCTTTCAAATAAATCATTACATTAAACATAGCAACATGTATTGATGGTACTCAAATGCTTATTATTCTGTTATTTGGTGTGATACTCATCATTCTCCAGTGATCTACGCCCTGTAGATCCAATACCATGACTAGACCTCATTTTGGAAATAAGTGTTTCTCCTGCAATTCATCATGTAACAACAATTGCCCTATATTTGCTTATGGCCAAACGTGCACTGGCAAGAAGTACGCTATGGAAGGTGATTTGACTGAAGTAGAAGGAAACAATGGCAAAAACGCTGGCATCATTTCTTGCACTCCTAGTGATCTCTTCAAGAGATTGTCCAACAAAAGCCATGTCATCGTAACTCTACCATGAGGAGCTGAGAAACCTTGTGTCTGCTTCAGAGAATCAGAAATTATTGAGCATGTTCAAGGAATATGGAAGTCCTAGAGCCAATTGTCAATAGTATCATAGTTCGTCGATGGTCTGTGGAATCGATATCATGAAGGTTGGTGCTTGCAAGAGAATGGTAGCTGCAACTACTTGCAGTGAGCAATCAAGTTAAGCTTGTAGGGCAGGCATTAGTTGGTAACAACTGCTTCCATTGTGTCTTTACACTCAATGTGCATACCACCCAACAAACGGACAAAGGTGAAGCTGTGATAAGCGCTGGAAAATTGAATTTGCTACAGATACACTACATACGAATAGCACACCATCTTCTCGCAAGAGTCTCAATCACCTTAAACCAACAGCAACGAATCGCACATCATCATCATCATCCAAGATATCTTCCAGTGCAGCAGACGCAGCCAGCACAACATCGCAGTCCTCCTTCATACCAGAGCAGTAGTGAGACCAACACTTGCGAAGCAAACACAAGCACAGCGAATGCATATACTAATAAACGAAAGTTGGACACTGACCATTACAGCAGAAGTAACAAAAAGCCAAATATACAATGGCATCCGCTATATCGAGGGTATACAGTAAGCGAGGCGCTTAGAAGAATACCAATTGAACTCGAAAAACATGGAAATATGATTTTACTGCAGCGTATGTGTGAGACCCGGTTCAGAATTAAGTCTCTCATGATTAAAGAAATCAAAACAGTTGTACATATTATCATTCCTCTATAAGCTGTTTGCTAAATAAAGTATCTCTAGTACTAATTGATACGTTGGACTAAATCTAACCGCGCTTTCTAACATCTAAATGTGCGCTTTTGTCAACCCCAAATGGCATATGCAATAATGACATTCAGTATTTTTTTTTTTTTTAAAAAAAAAAGGATAATGATATTTATATACTGAAAAGAAGTGTATTGAATAGGTTCCGTTCAAAGACATTTGCCAATCGCATTCACAGAATGCTGGCATCTATTTAAGAGCTCTTATCCCATCATATGCTTCCAGTATTCTTATCTTAAGATCTTCATCTCCAGAAAACTTTCTGCTCTTGACGTGAGGCTTTCATTGTAGATTAAAAGTTCTCAATAGGAGGATTTAGCCCAGACGAATACAGATGATGGGAGTAAATGCCTCTGTGTTCTCGCTTTCGAATCGTCTCGACAATGCCATCAACAGTGAGTTCTGAGGCATTGCCCATGACGATGTAGAATCCCTTCATGCAGGAAATTGAAAAATAAACAGAAACAGAAACTACCAAGCTTTAGGGTAGTAGGTCTCACTTGGTAAAATCCAGAGATACAGCCGTTCAAAAATCGGCCATTTTTACGATTTTCCATCACTACTCATCGACATCGTCCTTGACAAGCCCAAATCAAGCTCATCCTAGTCAAAGTACAATTTACACTTTTTATTACACGTATTATCTATAATATTTCAATAATAATAATATAATGACTTTAACTACTGGTAGCAGCTGTTTGAAATTAATCATTGTATAAAAGTATAAAAGTGTGAATTTCTCAATTACGATGCTAGCTACGCAAATTTAACTGGTGGCATCATCGTCTTTGGTAGGCCAGATAATCGGTATTATAAGAACATGCTATTTTCAACGCTCTGGGGTTACTATCTCGAAACTCGGTTTTGGATGGCTCCAGCCTCAAACTCGAAATCGCTTTTGTTAAGGCATTTTTTTCTATGTAAGTAGTAGTAGCCCAAAATTAATGCCGCAAAAGGTATTAGCTGTTGTCTGATAGATTTATTGTACTCATATAGCAGTTATTTTTTTTCCACAAAAAAGTTGTAAAATTATTAACTTCTTCGTAGCCCTATGTACTTCCAGCTGAGAAAAAGGTACGCTCCTTGAAGCAGAAAACGCTGCATTATAGTTTTTAAATGTAACAGCAATTGTTTGGTGGCGGGATGGTAGCTAGAATATACTACTGTAGCAACATCGCAAACAATACTATGCTGCAGTATTTCCTATGTGAGTTTCCCACATAATAAGCCAAAGACATTCCTCGCATGAAACTGTCTAATAGATGCTAGATCAAATGATGGCACCTTGTCTTGCTTTAGAATATATAAAAGAACATAAGTTGTAACTGTTTAGATATTCTTTTATTACGAACACAATATAATGTTAAATGGCAGATCAATAGCAGATCAACTAGTTATAACCCATCGCTCTTTCGACCCCCGAGCCAATCAGATCGCCCAAAAAACTCCGCTGACCTAAAAAAAAATTTGCGAGGGTTTCCCCCTGTTTTGATTTGAAGCAAAATTTTAAGCGCCGCTATATAGAGCAATATAGCGGATGCTATCATCAAATTTCCCTCAGGTGCTAGAGCATGCCTTACTTACACCACCTAGCTTTAGATTCTGGCGTTGAGACTCTCAATCATCACTAAAGTAAGTAGTGATAACCAAGTGGAGGCGGCCTATCTACCTCCTAGCCTCGGATAAAGTCTTGTTGAGCTTCAGGGATAGGCACATCCACACAACGTAAAAAAGGTATGCTTCAAAGAAACATAAAAATAATAAATGAAAGAAGAAAAGAGCATACTACTATAGGAGTATAGTAGTAGGCAAAAAAGAGACACTCACACGAAGCAAGTCAAAGAAAAGTGTAACAAACACAATATTAAAGATGATCAAAAAAGCTTGTTGCTGTTGCAAGAAAAATGCATACATGAGCAACATGCACGGTAATAGTCGTATGTAAAGCAGCACAAACACGCACAACTGCAAAAGCAACAGTGGTATTATAAGTTTGCGATACAACATAATGACTAATGTTGTTTCATGTGAAGCCACAGAGGAAACACAACCATCAAAAGAAAAAGAAGAAGAAGAAAGCGCAACAAGGCAAACATCATGAATGCATTATTACGAGAAAGAAAGTAATAATATAAAAGTTCAAAGAAGTTTTATATCATTGCGGCCAGAAGAAAGAAGTTACTTACCACTTACCACATACCACAGCTACATGTAGACCATAGGATACGCAATCACCGGATATAGGCCAGGGAACGAGCATGCACCAAAGACAGTAGACCAATAAAGAGCAAATTAGCAGCAGCAGCAGCAACACCAGCAACACCAGCACCATAGAAAACCCAAAGAATGAACGACACCAGAGACCAAACAAAAATCAAAGAACGAACGACACCAGCAGAGACCAAGCAAAAACCAAAGAAGCAGACAGCAGAGATAGCAGAAAAAAAACGGCAGCAGCACCCACGTCAAACAGGTAAAAAAAAATTACGAAAAAATCCAATAAACGAATTCAGTTAGTGTTAATTCTAAGCCTTCCAGTGTTCGTCATCGAATAATACCTAATATATTTCACTTCAAACAAGCAGTATCAAGTTCTCCCAACAGTACAAGTCAAACTTATCAGAAGCTAGAATGTTGTTATCAATCAAACGGTTTCCATAATCACCATGGTTTGATGCTAAACGCGTTTTGCAAAAAGAGAAAAAAAAAATGGGGGTATGGAAACATGAGAGGGCGCCCTATCCAACGTCACGGCCGGTAGATTATTTAGTCGCAGTACTGTACCGTAGCAGCGGTAATTGCCGCAATTTAATTTAAAATTGTGCAGTGGTATTTTCGTGTTCAAACTTGACTTGATCTGGCATCCTTTAAACGTTTTTTGCTAAATTTGACTATGAAAATTGTCGTTATAACGCCCAACTTTCTAATACCTCTCTAGAGAATTAAAAAAGCCACATCGAATGGTGCCGATTACATCCAGTTTTCAGACCTAAAATAATGAGCAATTTGCAAAAATATGAAAACAGGTTTTTTGTGGATATGTCAAAATTTAGCATATACAACTCTCATAGAAAAAGCGTCCAGTGTTGCATTCCGTTTCTACAATCAATTTGATCTAATAGGTATCATAGAAAAAGTCTTCATTTTTGGGGTGAAAAACGTGATCATTTGATTTTCAAGAATTTTTCCTTGCTAATACTCATGGAAAGATGAAAATTTTCATGGATTTGCGATGGCCTAAAAATTTTTGAGATAATGCATCAGTAAACAAGGCGTATCAAAGGAGAGCCGTTTTGCCTTATTCCGAGCGTCCACATCGCTTTGTAGCATGAGCTATTCGTGCTTCAAAATGACTAAATCTAGACAGAATTTGATCTAAAACAAAATGTAGTAGGTTGTGTTAACGAAGAAGTACATAAATTAAAGCTCTATATTTCTAAAGTCTGATGTATTCAACAAGGTGTTGAATAGCTAGAATCACACGAATGAAATGTACAATAAAGTATCAGCTTTCCACTGTGTGCAAAATCAAGATTGTAATAAAATAGCCACCCAAACGCAACTTGATTGAAAACCGAAATTCATCAAATAGCACTCATTCAAATTCATGCTATTTTGATCTATTAGTAAAAGCGCTCAAATGTACATCAACAACCATTTAAACATACTAAAGTAAAGATACACGCTTATATCGCACATCGTGTGAATGAATCACTCCTGATCACAGTAGTGTATTCAATCACACCCATAATGATGGTCGTAATAAGAGATGTTATCTTTATCAAATCAATAACAAGCATATTCAAATATGACAACTATGCCCTGCTGCCATAGTTGCACAATATCCCAGATAAAGGATTCCATACTTCAATAACAAACATCACACTTTAAACCATCAAGGTTACATTAAATCATGCTATGACGATAGCTCACCCAAGCCCATCAAGGTTACTCAAATTGACCCTTACGGCCAGTGCTCTTGCATTGATTACCACTTTAAATCAAACATCAACAACATTTGCCAGATATCGCAATAGCAGAACCTATTGCTCTCTATCATCACTAATCCTACAAGCTAGTTGCAAATGTATAAATACTCTTCTTTTTTTTACTCAATTCCAGGATCTTCAGTTCATTTTATACACAAATAAAATACAGTTGATTTCTATTGTATTTTACTATTGCTTTATTTTTTTTGTGAAATCTATTCAAACCTGATTTTACTGCATATACTATTCGAATTGAGGGATTTGATGTGAGGATAAGGTATTAGATGGGTTGATTTGGATGATAGGATAGTACTGTAGGGGGAAAAACTGTCCCGTTCGTTTAAAATTTTGTCTTTTTGCACAAGTTTTTGGTCATTTCTTTGTATACAAAGTCGAAATATATATCGTTTGAATGAGAGAAAGTAGTGCTATCTATACATAATTATAACTTTTTCAAAAACTAAAATCCAATGATTTTATTGGTTAAAAAATAAATATAGAAAAAAGTACATTTTATTATAAAATCATCAATAGTGAGTTGAACCACCTTTGCTCTTGATGACAGCCTTGATTCGGGCAGGCATACTATCAATATATTTCTGGCACTCTTTTTCTGTTATTTTGTACCACTAAATGTTAATACGCCGCTCTAATTCTTCTTTTGTAGAGGGCCTAGTGGGATACTTTTTAAGACGAAGCTTTAGGAGATGCCAGACAT